GGCTGCTTGCATCGTCCCAACCGCTCTCCTGCCAGGTAGCTGCAGTTTTCTCTGTGTTGCGTCGTGGTGTGGCCGGTGCCGAGAGTTGCTGTCGGCTTCACTGGTTAGGAGCCTCTCCTTGCCCCTTTGTTGTCTTATGTGGCTCTGGCTGAGACTTGGGCACGGTGTTGAACAGGAAGTGTCCGTCCCATCCCAGGGCAAGGCTTCCAGCCCCTGCCGTGGAGAGCAGAGCTGAGTGCCGGCTCTATTCCGCGCCGGCGAGTCGTTCGACTCAGCGGCCCTGCCCAGCCTGCGCCCCTCACAGTCACGTGTGAGCCCAGGGTTGCAGCCACTATGTCCGTCCATCCATCTCATCGAAGGCCTCCCTCTATTTCGCTCCCCCTCTTGCTTTACCAAGCAGGACTGGTCTCTCCTGACCACATGTCCAAAGGATGTGAGACCAAGTCTCGCCGTCCTTGTCTCTCAGGAGCGCTCCGGCTGTAATTCTTCCAAGTCGGATTTCTTTGTTCTTACTGACAGACCACAGTACTTTAGCTATTCTTCCGTGTGTGTGTGTGTACATACATATGCATATATTTATACACACACATATGTTTGCACCCTTTATCGTGTTGGGGAATTCCCTGTCTGTCCCTGTTTTGTCGAGCGTCTGTATCAGGAAAGGGGGCGGGTTTTGTTGAGCATCTTTTCTGTGCCGACAGTACAGACACAGGGACGTGGGCCTGTGTGGGCTGTTGCAGGGTGGGGCTGGGACGCCTCAGATCCCCATGTGGCACGCACATTTCCTCCATCCTTAGTCTACTTATGGATGTTGGGGGGACCCCCAGAACCCCAGCTTCAACATGCCAGGGCCTTCCCATGTGGACACCCACTGCATCGTGCCAGTGGGACTCTGGGAATCACACACCCTTTGAACTTGGGGCAGTGATGGCTGCCATTGACACTGGACAGGGGTTTGGAGTTAGGGGCTGCCTGCAGCTGCAGAACCACAGTCCTGACTCACCCCTAGGAAAAGGCGGCCCCTGGGTGCAGCCGCAGGCGTGAGAGGGTAGCTGAAAGTGCCCATCCAGCGGGTAGAGGGCAAGCAGAGATCAGTAAAACAGAAAGGACTTTAAAAGTCAGACGTGGCTCCTCACAAAGAGGTAAATAAGGAAGAATTGAGTAAAATGAAACTGGGGAGTGTCATATCTGGACAAGCACCCCGCCTGGCGTGCACACAGCCGGGGCCCTGCTGGTGAGTCCGCTCCAACTCCCGACAGCCCTGGGGGCTGGCTGGGAAGGAATCCTGGGGGCTGTTCCAGGGCCGAAGCTGGAGCTCCCCAAGGGGCTGCTGTGTCCATGAAGCTTTGCCGTCTCAGAAGGCGTTGCAGCAGGTCTGCCCTGGCCCTAGGTCATTGAATGGGAGGGGACTCGCCTGCAGTGGTGTAAGTGTCAGAGAGCCAGGTGACAGTGTGTGTGTGTGTGGGGGGGGGGGCGCTGAGTACCCCAGGGGCACGGTGGAAAACTCAGATCCGCCTACTTGGCAAGTGTGCATGCATCTGCTCCTGCTCGCATGGGTCAGAAACAAAGCAAGCTCAGCAGCACATGGTTGGCGATGAGGCCGAGGGCAATGCTCTTCTGTGTTGTCTAGGCTTAGTCCATGGAGCCGCAAGGTCAGTGGTTCAAACCCACCTGCCACTCTGAGGGAGAAAGATGAGGCTGTCTGCTCCCGTGAGGGCTTACAGCAGGGGGGACACCTGTGGAGGGTCACTTGGTGAGTCAGTGTCTCCACTCGAGGGCAGCGGTTTGTTTTTTGTGGTTGTTTAAAGGCCATCCACGAGATGGACTGGCTCTGCAGCTGTAGCGATGGGCTCGGGCAGAGGGACAGTGGTGAGGAGGTGCAGCAGGACCAGGCGAGGTCTCCTGCTGTGCACGGCGGGGTCCCTGTGGGCCGGAACGGATGTGGTGGCATCTGACAGCAACAGCAGCCGAGCGCCTGTCAAGCTGTCCGAGGCCTGCTCCCCTCCGCCCTGCCCCGGGGAAGCTCGGCGGGCCTTACTGCCAACGGGGCTTCCAGGAGGGGCCCAAAGCCCTTCCTGTAGATCATCCACCGCCTGCCGGGCACTCTCCACATGGTGACAGCACTCGGGAAGGCAGCCTGGCTCCACTGCTTGTGGCCCCTGGGGGCCGTGCCCTCTGAGCAGCTGCCTGACGTGGCGTCTCGGCAGAGAGTGAGGGCTCTCTGCTGCCAGCACGCGGTCGTCCGGTGTGCTTCACGTGGGACCGCACATCATGTGCAGCTGCTCGCGTGTGGCGGTGACCGCCCAACTGTAAAATTATTCTCGTTGCTCCTTCATAACTGCAATTTTGCTGCTGCTGTGAATCAGGTGACCCCTGTGAAAGGGTCATTTGACCACCAGAGAGGTCATGACCCACAAGTTGAGAACCACTTGTTTTAAGGGAAGCCAGGTGTGTGCACAGGCCCACAGCGGTGGAGGTCAGTAGCTTCTGGGCCTATAACTCAGAACTCGGGAATCCAGATACTGGGTTAGCACCAGAGGCCCGAGACAGGGAATCAGAGCCACAGAAGCTGCGTTCCTTAGCATACCTGCGTGGACAGGTGTTTTGGGAGGCCCGGTTTAGTGAAGAGGTGGGAGGTGCGGGTTAGTGAGTGTACCTGTGTGGACAGGCGCGCTCAAAGGCAAAGGTTAACGAACAGGTGGGTGTGGACTGCGGTGCTCGGAGGCGGCTGGACAGGGGCTTTGGGCTGGCCTGAGTAGGAGCACTCTGCCTTGTCCCCAGGTGACCTGAGCATCTCGGCTGATCGCCTGAGCGAGAAGCGGTCGCCCAATGACTTTGCCCTGTGGAAGGCCTCCAAGCCTGGCGAGCCGTCCTGGCCGTGCCCCTGGGGGAAGGTGAGTGGGCAGCCCACCCGGGGCCTGAGGGATCCCTGTTTCCCGTCTACAGCTGGGCCTCCAGGAGGGTGCATGGGGGGCGGGGCGGCTGGCTATGGCCCTTGAGCAGCATGGGAGCACGCTGCGCTGGCCCCGCAGTTCAAGCAAGCTCATGCTGGCATGGCCGGAAGGGTCACCCGGCTGTAACTGTGCCCACCCACCCCCTGTACACACACCGACACAGGGCCGCCCGGGCTGGCACATCGAGTGCTCGGCCATGGCAGGCTCCCTGCTGGGGGCCTCCATGGACATCCACGGCGGCGGCTTCGACCTGCGCTTTCCGCACCACGACAACGAGCTGGCCCAGTCCGAGGTGGGGGCTGCAAGGGGGCGGTGGGGGAAGTGGGCCTGGGGAGCCCGTGGTGGGAGGAGTTGACAGCTAGGATCTCGGGAGGTAACTTGGATTCTTTGGCTGGTTCTCTGGGCGCCCTGCATGTGGCTGCAGCCCAACCCCAGCGATCACTTGCTGCCTTGGCCTGGCAGCCCCTCTGGGCCCACGGCCCGCCCGCGGGGCGCTGCCTGAGAGGCGGGTGTGGGAGCAGCCCCAGCGGGCAGGGCACGGACACTCGGCGCACCCCATGCAGGCCCACTTTGAGAATGACTGCTGGGTCCGGTACTTCCTGCACACGGGTCACCTGACCATCGCCGGCTGCAAGATGTCCAAGTCCCTGAAGAACTTCATCACCATCCAGGACGCCTTGAAGGAGCACTCGGGTAGGCAGTGGGGGAGCAAGGGCGTGCCCTGACCCTCCTTTCATCTCGCACACGGCCGTATGGAGTGCACGCGCCTCCTTCCCTCACACACAGGCACGGCCGTGCACTTGCCGGGCACTCAGGGGCCGTGCTGTCCCCCCAGCCCGGCAGCTGCGGCTGGCCTTCCTCATGCACTCCTGGAAGGACACGCTCGACTATTCCAGCAACACCATGGAGTCGGCCCTGCAGTACGAGAAGTTCATGAACGTGAGTGCTGGCCGTGTGGAGGGCTGCCTCTGGGGCCCGACGGTCGGTGAGGGGCAGCTAGATTCTGGGGGAAGTGACCGCGGGCCGCTCAGAGAAGCTCGAGTCCCATCGCTCTGGCGCTATCCATTCCTCCATGAGAGCGTCACGCAGGCAGAGACCGGGAGGACGCGGGATGGGCACTATCCATTCCTCCATGAGAGCGTCACGCAGGCAG